GTTTTAAAAATGAAAAACTAACTGACTACCACAAGAGTACTCCTGCAAATATGTACTGCATCAGTTCATTAACGATGACTGTCACTGATGTAAGAAAATCACAGATGAGTAACATTACCAGATATTCAATACCAAAACAACACTAGGTTTTCAGACTGACCTACAGAGAGAAACCTTTCAAATAATCCATCCTTCAAGATACCCAATAACATTCCATACACTCCCTCCCAAACATACCATGAAGACTTTCGCTAAGTACTTCCAACTCTCCAAGTGGCAGAACAAACACTGATGCTTATCAATAGAAGGGCTTTGCAAATACTAAAGAATGTCCTTACAAATATCAAGGTGTTCTTGGGAATCCTGCAGAATGCAAATGGAAGAAAAAATATCAAGTCAATCTATTAAGGGATTATAAAAATTGGTAAGAAAATCACTAGAATTAAATGGAACATATGGAGAAAAAAATTGAACATTTTAAAGAGTAATTTTAAGTGGATAGGAAAAAATATTTCAGTCTCATTAGCTTTTAAAAAACTTGTTAAACAGCCAGGCGTGGAAGCACACACCTGTAATCCCAGCACTCGGGAGGCTGAGGTAGGAGGATCGTCGAGAGTGCAAGACCAGCCTGAGCAACAAAGTGAACTCAAGGCCAGCCTGAACTGCATAGCGAGACCCTGCCTCAAAAAGACAAAAAAAAAAAAAAAAAACTTGTTAAACAAAAAAATTAAATGTGGGCAGTGTTTGATAACTGAAAAGTGAAAAATTCAATGCTAGTGAGGTACAATGAGTCAGACACTCATCTGCTAGTGAACTTGGAAGATTTGTTTGGCAAAATGGCTCAAGAGACACGGCAATTCTCAATTTCTAGGAAATATTTCATAATGTCAACAAAAAACCTTTGACATTCACCTCAGTATTTTTTATAGTAACAAAAACTTAGACTCTCATAAATGCCCAGCCATAGAGAAAGCATTAAGAAAATTCTTTCAGAATCATATTCATGAGAAATTTAATGATGGGGATATCTTGTGATGAAAGATTAAATAAATGCATGATTTTTAAAGAATGTGTACACTTCAACATTTCAAACAAAAACTCAGAGAAAACATACCAAAGTTGGTATTTCTCTGAGTCTTTTGGACTTTTTTCTATTCGTGTGCTTTCCATAATAAAAGTGCACTGATTTTAAAATTAAAGAACAAAAATAAACAATAAAATATCCTTTTTAAAATTTTTTATTTATTTATTTATTTGTCTTTTTGAGACAGGGTCTCCCTATGCAGTTCAGGCTGGCCTTGAGCTCACTTTATAGCCCAGGCTGGTCTCGAACTCACAATGATCCTCCTGCCTCAGCCTCCCGAGCACTGGGATTACAGGTATGTGCCACCACGCCCAGCTAAAATATCCTTTTAGATGGAGACATTTTACCTTCTAAAGTGTCAGCGGGGTGGACTCCTCGTGGACTCCAGTTTCGAAGAAACCTGGGCTCCCAAACCCTCGCCGGATTCGTGTAACTTCCTTTTGTTCCTGTGTTTCTTGTTAACTCTCAGGTTCCTCTCAAAGCTATCAACAAACACTTAAGGGCGGCTCCTCCACACCCAGCTCCCAGCGGGACACCCTGAGCTGTTTCACTTCACATAGGAGAAGTGTCCCCCCACAGAAAGTGCTGGGTCTCCACTTCCGGGCTGGGCCAGGGCCGGGCAAACTGAGGCCAGAGGCAGTCTTTGGGAAGTCCCTCTCACCACCTCCTCCCACTGCCTCTTGGACATCTGTACTTCAAACGCCTCTCCTGCGAACCGGGCTTCAGTCACCTTGTCACCAGGACGACTCCAGTGGGCCCTCCTTCTCCCGTCTCCCTAAGCTCCTCCTATCCCAGCCCTCTAGCTGAGCCATCTTTCTAAGGAAATCTGATGCTATCCTCACAGCACTTAAAACCCCCTTTCACACGTCCCTCACCCCACCTCTCTTGCCCACTGCTGCAGTTTTTTTAAGTACTGAGGATTAAACCCAGGGCCTTCACATGAAGCTAAATTCTCAGCTTTTTTTTTTTTTCACATGCACTCAACTCAAATTTGTGATCCTCCTGCCTCCGTCTCCTATGCCTGTCTCACTGTTGCTCTTAAGACGATGCTCTGTTCTTTATGTTGGCCCTTCCTAACCTATTCCAGCCTCATTAGAAATCCTTCATTTATTTATGTATTTATTTACTCTTTGAATTTTGGTGGAGCATTTTATATCAGGCACACAGCAGGTGCAGGGATACAGCTGTGAAAGATACACACTGTGCGGGGAAGCAAATTGCCCAGCAGTGCTGCTTTGTAGCCCGGCTGTTCAGAGTATGACATGCAGACTGGTAGCGTCAGCATCACCCTGGAGCGGGCGTCAGCACCCTCCCAGACTCACTGCACAGAGGCATTTCTACTCTTATGTGAGTTCCCAAGCAAAGTTTGAGAAGCATTACTCACTCCAGAGTACATACTCACCGAAAGAAATACAAATAAAATCACTCACTCAATGAGTGAGTGTGTGTGTGTGTTTCTGTCTCTCTCTCATGTGCCAATCGTGCATAACCAAATTTTAGTGAGTTAAATGAGTGTGTGAGTGTGTGTGTGTGTGTGTATGTGTGTGTTTCTGTCTTTCTCTCATGTGCCAAACATGCATAACCAAATTTTAGTGAGTTAAATGCATAGTCTAATGAAGCTTGAAAACTCAGAAGCAAAATACAAATGCAAAGCATTCTTTACGTGACATGCCTACCCAGTCAATGTGCTGTGTCACAGGGAATCATGCTGTTCATACACAAAGCCTCGATGTGGAAACCATTCACTTCCTCTGTTAGCTCAGGGCACATGTGCAGGCCCTGCCCTCCTTCATGAGAAGCCACTGCTGACATACTCCTTGGAGTTGTGTCCTCATAGTGGAAGGGCTCATGGATACCCCCACAGTCCTTCCCCTCATTCCTCTTATAGCCAACAGCAGAATAGGAGCAATCCTACTGAGTGAAGGAGGAAGTTGGGGCCAGGTGACAACTCCAGAATGAAAGCTGCGGAACAGTCCTCATGAGCTTGCTGGCCAGAGCTCAACATCTGCATGGGCTATCCGGCAAACAACTCTGTCAGCTGCCTAGCTCAACACGCCAGACAGCAAACAGGGTCCCACTAAAATCTGAAATAAATAAAGAACTCAAAAAAAATCAGACTCCCAAATTTAAAGTACCAATCCAAATTGGCCATCTGAAACTATTAGAAACTTCTCACATGAAGAAATAGAAACATCAAATAAATACATAAATGTATTTTTAAAAAACGTATTCAAATAAATAAAAAGTGTTCAACATCAGTGGTCATTGAAGAGATGCAAATTAAAACAACACTGAGATTCCATTCCACTCCAGAAAGAATGGCTATTATTAAGAAATCAACCAATAACAAATGCTGGAGGGGCTGTGGGGAAAAAGGAACCCTTCTCCATGGTTGGTGGGAGTGTAGACTGGTGCCACCACTGTGGAAATCAGTGTGGAGATTCTCAAAAATCTAGGATTAGAGTTTCCATTTGACCCAGCAATTCCCCTTCTTGCTATCTTTTTGAAAGAATTAAAAGCATCATACCACAGTGATACATGCACACCTATGTTTATAGTGGCACAGTTTGTAATAGCTAAATCTTGGAAACAACCCAAATGCTCATCAACTGATGAATGAATAAAGATGTGGGGTTTTTTATACTATGGAGTATTACTCAGCCATAAAGAAGGACAAACTTGAAAAATTTTAGCTAAATGGATGCATCTTGAGACTTTACTCTTAAGTGAAATAAATTTGACACACATTTAAATATTGCATGGTCTCTTTGAAGTGAGAAACCAAAAGGGTAAATAAGGACCAAACTGTGTAACAGATGTCGTGAAATAGGAAGAAAATGCTCAAATGGGAAGGGAAACTAGGGAGGGAGGAAAACTAAGGAAGGGAAAAGAAAAAAAAAAAAGACAACAGAAGGAAAAAGATGGAAACAAAGCTTTTGTAGATAAAGAGGAAAAGAGGGGTTGAACAGAGGGGAGGAGAATGAGGGAAAAAGGATTAAGATATGTCACATGCAGGTACAAATTCCCTGTAATGAATGTGATCTTTATGTATATCAAGATATTCCAATAAAGTTAATTATAAAAAAAAGAAAAATAGGGTCCCGGTCCCATCTAGAGCAAAACATTCAGAACCACATGCCACCAAATAAACACTGATCCTTGTGCACCTTACAGGCCACTCTGGATAGGTTCTATTGAATCAACAGCTACCCATCCACCATGCATATAAAGAGCAGGATTCTATATAAACACAATCATGTTTTCAAAACAGAAACAAAGCACTGTTCAACACCTCTGCAGTGCTGCTACAGCCTGAGCTCCTTTCCACGCATATTAGTGTATCTAATTTCCATTCAACAGGAAACCTCCTAAAAGAAAAGCTTGTTCTATACTGATGTGTAGTTATTTACCTAAAATCATCATTAGCATACTTTGTGGAAGTAACTGTAATCAAACAATCCAAACTGATAATACATTGCTATTAATCATCTCCTGGGTTAGTAGGAGAATATTTCATTCAGAAACTCTTACTTGGGCACCTACTGGAGTTACTATACTAGGTGCTGTGGAAGAGAAATACAAAGATCAACTGGATAGAATCTCTGTCCCTCCCCCTCTTTAAGACACAAGACTCACCATAAGTAAACTGACAGAAAAAAACCTAACTCTTGACAGTAAAATAGATGAATAATTCTTCATCAATTGATGAAGATTCTTCATCAATCAGGAACAAAAACTTGATCAAGTGTTCCTGTGAAGAAGAGTGTAACTGGTCAGTCACGTATTTATGCCAACGTATGCAGTGGCTTCAAGTAACTACACCTAGTATATGGAAGAGAATAAAAACCTAGCTAGAGAGGTGGAGATACCATTCCACACATGTAAAGGCATGGTTCAGAACGGTCTGAATACTCACTGTTCTTCTTGTACATCAGAATTTCAAAGGAATTCATCTCATAGTTCTCAAAGGTTTGCCGCACCTTTTCAATTGTGTCTTTATCAGTCAGCTCCCCATACATAAAACTGCAAATCAACCAAAGAGCTAAAGTTAGGTTAGCTAGTATTTATTATTCTATAAGCACATGTTATTAAATATCTGTTCTACACACAGCATTGTGCTATGCAGCATAGAACAGACATATACACATGCAGTGAAAATATTTACTGAATTTTAAAAAGATGTACTAATTCAACTGTAAATAAGACACTAACACTGCCGCTCCCACTAACAATCTAATGAGAGATACACACTAGAAAACAATAGATCCAGAAGCCTTGTGAGCAGAATTACATTGGACCCTCTGGTTGGTCACAGAAGGCTTCCCAGAAGTAAGGACAAAGGAAATTTAAAGAGCAGGGGGAACTAGCAGAGAAAAAAAGGAATGAGAACTTTCTAAACAAAAGTGGAGCATGTGCACAGCCACTGAGATAAAAGGTTTATTCCAGAACCTGAATGTAACTCAGTTCAAGGCCTGGAATTAGGGAAAGAAGGGGAAACTGCCGATAGAGACAGAGAGGCCCAGTGATGGAGGGGGCGCTGGCATTGCAAGCTATCTGAGGAAGTTTAAACTTTATTCTGAAAGCAGCTGGACAACAGGGGAGGGTTTTAAACAAGGAAGAAACATAATCAGATTTTATTTTAGAAATATAACTCTGAGATTTCTAGTAAAAAATAGCCAAGTCAATTTGGAGCACAGATTTTTTTCTTCTTTTAATTCCTAACAAAATGAAAAAGGGAAAAGGAATAAAAATTCACCAACCAAATGAGAAAAAGGTACAATCCAATGCTCTAAATATTACTACACAGCAAAGGAAAGAAAAGGGATTCAGCCATTCTCTATGCAGTAATTTTTCCTGCCTACCCTCTTCCCAAAAAAAGAAAAACAGAATTGGGTTTTAAAAAATTGAGAGAGGATGGGAGGGAGAGAATGAGGGGAAGGAAGGAAAGGGGGAAGGGAAAAAGGATGAAAAAGGAAGTAAGGTGTGTTACATACATGTACCAACTCCACACAAGAAATGTGAACATTATCCACCACCCGCATGTACTAATACACTAAAATTTTCAAAAGGCAAGAAAAATCTTGAAGAGAATAAAATCCTACATGTTCTTAATAATACAACTCTCACCTCTCTACAGCTCAAGTTTGGAGGAAAATAGCCTAAAGGAGGAAATAAGCATACAAAAAAAAAAAAAAAAACCCTAGAGACAACTAGAGACAGGATAGTTGGAGCTCTATCTGTTAACCCAGTCAACACAGGCAGGAAAGCTTCCAGGACTGACCATTTTCCTGGGCCCCACACTGAATACATCCTGATGAACATGATGTATCCCTGTAGGAACAGCATATACACCCAACTAGACAGAATGAACCATGGTATGGGACACGAACAAGGTGCAAGATGGAAAAGCCCTGGCTCAGTGAGGCTGACAGTAAGTTCTCTGAGGAAGCTGCCTGTGTATCCAGCAAGCTTTCTCCTGCTCACCTTAACCCTTCAGGCATCAGAAACAAGGAAACAGCAGATAACACCTCAAAGCCTGCCTGATGCAGAAGGAGTGGCAAGGCATCCTACACAATAACTTTCCCAGCTTCTAAAGCTGTGCATACTGATTATAACCTGACTTTTTCGTGATAACTTGGACAACAGAATCAGAATTTCAGAACTACAAAGAACTTCCAAGACTATCAAGTGCAATTTCTGACCTAAACTTGAACCATCAAGTCAAGCACTGTACCTAGCTTCAGGAACAGTCTTGGATTGACTATAGACTCCCAAACTCTGACATCCCAGTAGAAAAGAACTCAAGCTATTGATTTTAGTACTTCTATGTCACTGTTTTATTTTACGCCCTTCCCTAGTTGAGTGAGATATGATAGGCTGTCGGTAGCCTTGTGTGTATCTCGTGTAGGACCTGCTGTTGAGTCATACTCTTTACTTGCATACCAGGAAAATAGAAAACTGAGCTTGTTGAAATATCTTAAGAAGGAAGAATAGATCAAGATGAAATTATTCCTGCCTAAGAGCAAGAGGCTCCCTCATCTTCTTCTGAGTTAGTTTTCTGCATAAGTGACCTCCATGTAGGTGAAGGGATGGTATATACACCAGCAAGTTCCTGCACAAGGTGACACAGAGCCTTGCAAAGCTTCACAGCAGCAAGTGCCATAAGTGCACCCAGTTCTCACAAGTCTCATGAACTTGTTCATGAAACTAGTTCACCAGGAGATGTGAATATTCAAAATACATGGAATAGGTAAAAGAGGCTCCCGAACTATCAAGAATATAGTAAGCAAAGAGGTATACTTATTCCTAGAGAAGAGATATATTCATGTAATTAAATAATTGTGTGTGTAAAAAATGGCTAACTTAGCAAGGTATCTGATTTCCTGAAAGTGATTACAGCCAATAAGCACAAAGAAAGGCAAAGAGAAGCTGATCAAGTCACATTAGAAAGGCAGTTCTCTTGATTTGTTCATTGCATGTGTGTAGAGCAGACAGAGACATAGATGGAGATATACAGATACACAGGCTCTCAAGAGGAAAACAACACAAACTATATAAGAGAATTCTATTGTGATAAGAGCCATAATTTCTCTACCTTTGAGCAATGGGGGAGAAAATCTTAAATTTTCCATCTCTCAGTCTTGATGTAAAATTTAAGAATATTACAATATTTTCTGGACATTTCAGCAACTAAAATTATTTGGCTGATTTAACATATGAAAGTGTAACTTCTGAAAATAGAATATGCCATCTCAGACAGGCTTCCCCACCCTTCGTGGAGGACTTTATCCTTGACTTGGCAGGTAAGGAAAATGATTTCCCTTCGTGCAAAACACTACTGGAGATAAAAGACTGGAGAAGGACAAGGTGAGAACAGCCAAAGGCTGTGATGAGCCAAGTCCTTGCCGGGCACTGCACACAGACCCTGGCAGGTTCTGGCTGCGTGCTCAGCTCAATACCTTGAAGATGCTTGGAAAGAGCTTTTCTAGTGCCCAGGCCCAAGGGTACTGCTTGACTAGCAACTTTGTCAAATACACAAGCTGCGCTGTTAGCACAATTTGCTAAGAGATCAAAAAGAGAGAGAGAAACAGAGAGACAGAGGTAACAGTACAACCATATGGCTAGAAAATATTGGTTTTCTTCTTGGTAGCTGAGGAAAAACTCTAACAAGGTCTTGTCTCCAACATTATAGTTACTTTCTCTATAACAGTAATCATTTTTAAATGGATTATCTAAATTTTATTTCATTTTATTTTCTTCTCTAACTTTCATGTTTAATTTAATCTAAATATAAACTTTTGAGTTCACGTTTTATGGATAAAATAGTTTTTCTGAGTTCTTCTGCGCTCTCTCACCATCACCTTACTGGCTGCAAATCTGCCAGTTGGAGAAACTTGCATGAACTAGAAAAGATACTGCAGTGAAAATTCCTGAAAAAATACCGAACGAGATAACACCAATTCCCAGAGTAAGCCATTTTATTTTTCCAAAAGACTCCATGATAGATTGTTCCCCAGAACAACTCCAGACATAAATACCTGCAGGTGCTGCTTTTTTGCATCACTTCTGCCCTGTGGTAGCCAGACAGCTTGCAAAATCCATCATTGCTGTAGACGATAGGCCAGTCCACTATCTGGGCATTCCCCAGCACAAAGTTAGTATCTGTTAAAAAAGAGTGGGAGGCACACATGAGATGCACTAAGGACATGAACAATGACAATCAATCTACGCATTTCTACATCCCTTTAAAACAAAGGTTCTTGAACAGAAATACGGCCCTGTGAACCTGTGAGGAATACAAAAGATCAGTGTGCTTTAGAACCAAATATTTTGAATGCAAATACTAACTAAGGTCACTATACTCCAAGAACAAGGCAGTAAAGGAGGCATGCTTTACCAACCCACCAGCCAATAAATCCTGCAGAAATTCACTGGATTCCTATGAGACGTAGTTAAGTCCTACCTAGTTTTACCATCCCAGTGGAAGTATACCAAGCAGAAAAAAACCAAAAGTACTTTCTTTGGAGCACTGTCCAGTATCTTAGCCTCATCAGTCCTGTGGCCAAAAGATGTACATTGGCTTTATTAATCCAGTATTTGCCCGTTCTAGGAGAAGGCAGAGAAAAAGAATTAGAGGACGGCCTCAGGAAATACACACTGGAGAACCTCTCCTCCGTGAGGAAGAACAGCTAGATCCCTCTTGCCTTTGTAGAGAGTAACTGAGGTGCCTGCACCACAGAACCTTCTCTTGCAGCCGGAGAGCTGCACATTTGTGCCCTTTACCAAGCGCCAGCCAACCACCCATGTAGGATGCAGTGAAGTGGGCCAGAAGTGGTTGGTGCCTCAGCGTATTTTCACTACTTCTGACATTTTTGGAGCTCAAAAGTATTCAATACTTTTTGTATTCAGGGAATCAACTGTCTCTGTTTTCTTTTCAAGAATTTAAGCTATTAAGCAAATAACATGTGGAAGCTAAATGCAATCATTGACAGAGAGAGAGAAAGACAGGGAGAGAAAAGTTTACATTGTGTCTAATCAAATAATAGCCCTTATCTATTGAGAAGTGAACTTCGTTCTGGGACAGAATTTATAACTTCTATACAATATGAGTAACCATCCCTTCATTTCTGCATAGGGAGGTGACTGCCTGGGTCAGGTAGGCTTCTCCACCCTTCATCAATGAGTTTACTTCTTGATTTGGTAGGTTTGGGAAAATGATTACACTTTTCACAAATGTCACCGACACAAATGCCACTGACAGCAGACTTCTTCCTCACTCACAAGGAAGGAGTGAGCAGCAAAGGCCATGGTGCACAGAGCCCTTGCAGAGAAAGGAGGAGGAGGAGGAGCGAAATGTAGTCATCTATTCCTGAGAATGGTTTCATCTATTTACACGGAACATAAAATGAAAATTTCAAGAAGTGAATCTACAAGCCTACTATTTTTATAAATATGCTTTTAATGAAAATCTACAACCAGCCCATCCGTTTACCTCCCTCATACATATTTAAATGCTTTTGGAGTGCCGGCGTACAGCACAAGACCCTGGTGGGATCCACAGTGATAAGACAGTCTCTGCACTCGCAGAATTTATTGGGACAAACACACACATACACAACTACCTAAAGAAACAGGTAAGAAAGTGACAGAGGCTGCGTGTCAGCAGCGGCAACATCAGAGCTTGCTCCAGTCTACAAGGATAAGGGTCACTTAAACATTTCACACAGCACAGATAACACAAAAGCAACAGATAGAAACAAAAATATGATCCCTCCTTTGGTGAGCCCCGGAGGGTACGGAAGGACAGGAATCCTCCAGGTAGAGGACCCAGCACAAACCAAGGCAGGGCAGCACAGAACATGTAGCCTACTGTGTAAACAGAATGAACTCCACATCCAAACATAAATGTCTTTCTGGTTATTGATTATTTCCCACATTCAGTAAATGGAAATTTAACTTGAAGCAAGGTAAAACTTCATTAGGAAAGTAACCCAATGCTTGAAAGGTAACTTGCACTCATAGACTAGAAGATTTACTATTGTTAAAATGTCCATGCTTCCCAAAGTGATCTATAGATTCAATACAAGTCCTATCAAAAGTCTAATGACATTTTCCACAGAAATAGGAAAATAACCCTAAAATTCATGCACTTATCTAGAAACACTCAATATCTGGGAAGTCCACAACCAATCAAGTTGACACAAAACTAACGATCAAAACACCGAAGCCAGGTAGAGGGTGTAGTTCTTCTTGTCTAGCATGTTCAAGACTCTGGGTCCGATTACCACCATTGCTGTGTCAGTCAACTTTTCATCGCTCTGACCAAGTAACTGCGAAAAACAACTTCAGAGAGGAAAGCTTCACTTTGATTTCAGTCCACAGTTGCCCGCTCCAGTGTTTCTGGGGAAGCAGTATATCATGGCGAAAAGGCAGAGTAGGAAAAAGCTGCTTACTTCATGGCAGCCAGGAAACAGAAAAAGGGGATGAACCAGTGAGGAAAGGCCCGGGAACAAGATACAGGCTCTAAGATCACAGTCCCATGACCCACTCCTTCAGCTGGGCCTGAACTCCTGCTTCTGGCCTAAATTCCCCTCTTGATAATGCCATCAATTATGATCTCACAAGTGGAACAATCTGTCAATGAAGCCACGTCATCTTCCAAAAACTCCGCCTGTGAGCACGCAAGACGTTTCAGGGGACAGCTTATGTCTAAGCCAGAACAACTGCAAAACACCACACAGCAAACAAGCAAAAAAGCAATAAGCGCCACAGCCCATGTTCCTAAATGGAACTTCTACAATATCCTTCCATGGCATCAGAAGAGCCACTGCAAGTCCCTCAGAGTCCCTGGTAGTACTTAGGCTTGGCAGGACACAGTACTGCTGTAAAACTCTACTTTGACTTTTATGAAGACAGTGCTCATCTTTCTATATCTGGGTTTCCACTGAGAGGAAAAGTTGTCCACTTGCCCCAGAAAGAGGAAGTATAGAATAAATACTGTTGACCTCTCTTCACCCTCCTCATGTCGACCTCCACAGCCACAATAACCAAGCTGTCAGCAGGTACATAAAGAGCAAGAAGAAGCCACTCTGTGGGCCTTGGCTTCTCAGACTTTCCTGCGCCTAACGTGGAGAAGTGAGAGAGGCCGTGAGCTACTTATCTCCTGTGTCACTCAGAACCTACTTGTGCCAAACCCTCCAGAGCTCTGTCCTGTTGGCTCTAGCATCCTGCCCTGGGAGCAGATCAGTGACTCAGGGTCTACAAGCCAAGTTCTAGTTCTAGGAGGGACACAAACTGTACTGGCACCCTGTAATCCAGTTTCATAGTATGAGAGCTGACACTGTATTCTGACCTTCATTTGGCTCCTTCAGACTGTCTTCAGTTGCATAAATTCTGGAAAGAATGAGAATAAAATGAGCTCCAACATATTAACAAGGGTCAAAGCCCCGAGATTCCAAGGGTCACCCACTTTCCTGACTCCTGGCATGCCAAATCACACTGGTGAGACTCTGAATAAATTCCTCCAGAAGAAGAAGCAATACAGTCCCTTCCAGATTCTGCCTGTTCTATTCGAGTCTTTTTCACTGGCTTTCTTCTTTTTATAAACATACTTTTAGAAGACACCATCCCCGGGCTGGGGATTTAGCTCAGCGGCACAGCGCCTGCCTGGCAAGTGCAAGGTCGTGAGTTCAATTCCTGGTACCAGAAAAAAAAAAAAAAAGAAGAAGAAGAAGAAGACACCATCCCCTCACATGTCTCTGTGATAGCTGGTACAGTCAAAGCAGCCTCTAAACAGCTAAGATTACTGCAGCCCCAGGAAGCCCTGCCTCCTCACTTTCAAGCTCTGTGGAATCCACTCCCCTGAATCTGGGTGGGTCTACGATTTGCTTCCACTGCAGTGGATGATGTGATGCTGATCCTGGCTCTAAGCCTCAAAGTCTAGTGGCCTCTACTTTGTATTCTGAGGAGCTGTGAGCTGTCGTGCGAGGAGTCCAGCTGTGCTCCTGGAGAGGCCACGTGGAACTCTACCAGCAGGGACTACCTAATGCAAACCAGGTCCTGGGACTCCACGCAGAGCCAATGGTCAGTCATGAAAACCAACAGGAACATAAGGGGTAAATGACACCTTTTCCAAGAGATCCCTAGGCTTCCTAGAGCACCATCTGAAAGAACAACTGAACTGAAGCTGGATCCTAGTCACAGTGTTGCCCCTTGTAAACTGTTGTGGTTATGGAGTTGGGGCTGGGGAGAGTATGCTGGTGTAGACCTCCATGCTAATGGCAGCGACCAATCTCGCTGCTAATTAACTAGGTTTGTACTAAAGAAGAATCAGATGATACCTGTGCAGTCTGCAAGCCATCTACCCATACAGCACAACCAACCAGTAATTCCCTCAAACTTCACTTCCTATGCTTAACTCTGTACGGTCTGAGTCACTTCAAAAATACCAGAAATAAGCTGGGCATGGTGGAGCACACCTGTAATCACAGCTACTCTGGAGGCTGAGGCAGGAGGAACTCGAGTTTGAGGCTAGTGTGGGCAACTTAACATCTTAGTGAAATGAATAAAAAATAAAAGGGCTAAGGATATAGCTACTGAGCACTGGGTAGGGCACTCGGCCAGCAATCCCAAGGCCCGGGATGAATCACCGGTACTTTAAAAAATGCAGAAACATCTTTAAAATTTCATATTCATATTTTGGGTCACTTGTATTGTCAGGTTTTTGCTCAGTGGAATTGTTTGGGTTTGGAACATGGTGCAATATTCAATATTAATGAAATGTACAACATTGTCAAAGGATTCTACAGTAGAAATCAATCATGTATAGGTGGGTCTCTTTGTATATACTAAAAAATGCCTAACTGTGTTTTTGAAATCAATAAAGTCAAGTCAAAAAATATGAGATTTAAGAGCAAAATAAAAGATAGATAGGAAGTCAAAAGATCTTTTGCAAATGGGGAAGGAGTCAAAAAATGGAAGGAGGGTAGGGGAGGACGGAGAAAAGAGGAAGTAAAAAGAATTAAGATGTGTTATGTACATGTACTAACTCCCCCTGATAAGGGTAATCATTACATATGGCAAACATGTACTAATAAAAATTCTAAAAATAAACAAAAAGGAAGAAATATACTCTAGATGTACATACAACTGTCCCTCCATAA